ACTGTTTACAGTTACATACAGCAAAGCCACATCAGATGGGCGGGAGATGGACGCTTGCCCACTGAGAAGGCAGGAGGTCAATGGGAAAAAATTATTTTAGTCAACGTTGAGCCTTCAAGTTCGGAACTTTATCCAAACTGTGGCGATGTTCTCATGCTCCCCCTGTGCGGATGCCAGGCCCTCCTCTGATGCTCACTTCCAGGGAAGCTGGGCTGGCAGTGGGAGGAGCCCCACACAGGGCCAAGCCTGTTTCTTCCACCCCTCGGAGGTTAGCAGGTCACAGGGCTGGTTAAGGACCCACAGAACTCTTTTTCCTGGGAATCCTAGTCACTGTGACGCTAACCTGCACTAGGCCAGGTGGGGTGGCAGGCAAGGGCCCAGGGTTATGGATGCTGAGGGTTGGGGAAGGTGGCATTCTTTGCAGCAGGCCATGTGGAGCGACAATTCCTAGGGCTTGATGAAGCTTCAGGAGTCACGCTGAACAGATTTTCACTCAGGCCTCCTCTTCCAGGAGGGAATCAGATGCTCCCCGTCTGGCTGAGAGCAAGCCCTATTTTCCCCACCCTGAGTCTGAGATCATCAGCTCCTCCTGGGGAAGCCTGGGATTCTAGCCACGGCTACTAGAAGTGCAAGCATGAGGCGACCAGAGAGCTGGTGTCAAGGGGAGGCTCTCTCTTTCTGGGTCTTTCTTGCCTCAGGTTCTCAGGGGAAATCCCTTTTCTAGACTCAAGACCCAGGAGACCTTAATGGAATTGGCAGAAAAAAAGAGTGAGGAAGTGGGACAGAGTCAAGAGGGGAGAATAAAGGAATGAAAGAAGAGAGCAGGAGGGAGGAAAGAGAGAGAGAGAGAATGGTGCATGCACAGGAGCAGCTGTGAGCCTGTGTGTACCCAGGGGGTTTCTGGAGCACCTAACAAACGTACTGTGCGTGATGGTTTTGTCATCAACCCAACCTGCTTTGCCACAGGCTAACCTTCAGGGCATCTAGGATGTTACTGACTTGAACCAGAGGTAGGCTGCCACCATCTCCAGTGAGACGTGAGCCTCACCCAGCTCAAGAACCGGCAGTGGCTCTCTCAGGGGATACCCAAGGGCTCTAGACACCTGAAGCTGGCACAATGCAACTGCGTGACAGCCATCCAGACAACCACATTTGACCATCATACATACCATGATCCTCAGCCACAATTCCAGCGACATCAACTGCAGAGACCCCCATCTCTAAAACATGCTAAAAGACACGTAACCCAACTCTGCCATGACTGTCACGGGCCAGCCGCACTGCAGTAGGCATTTGAGCAGCAGGTATGAGGTTGTTGAGACTTGCTGCTTCTGCCCAAGATCCGCCACCCTTTATTTCCTTCTACTTGTGCAGGAAACTGCCAAGGAGAAGCCACAGGGGGCCTCTGTTAACTATAGTATCTAATGGTGGTGCCCATCTTTATTTCTTCAAAGTATGTGCTAGAAGCGAATGCCACAACAGGCCTGACAATGCAAAGGGCAGTAGGGGGGTGACCATCTCAAGTTCATAAGGAGTCTGGGATTGTAACTGAGGATGTTTGCCCCCAAGGAGACCCAAGACCATAAAGATGACGATGAGATGCCCCAAGCAAACTTGCCGCCATAGGTCCCAGCCTTGACATCAGGGTTACCGAGCACCCTAGCAGAGTTCCTTCCAAAAGGACCACATTTGAATTTTAGTAAATCAGCTCAATATGTTCTAGGACTGTGGGTATTAAATAAAAGAAGTCAGTGAAATCTCCAAACAATAAGCTCATTCAACACAATCTTTTTTTCTCCCCCCATCTGGGGACTTGAATACAGTTAACATGAATAAATGCTCTTGTGTAAAAACTGGGGGAGAAAAGAAGGGGGGTGGAGGATGGAAGGAAATGGCAGGGTTCCCACTTGTTGGTCTAACAGGAAGGCTAAGACAGTCCCCAGAACCCAAAGGATGCCAGTGTGCCAGGGTAGCCCTAGGGAGATGGTGGCAACAGTTTGCAGTCCAGGTAAGGAAGTATCAGGAATTTCCCCACCCAAGCACTCCCAGCTTCTCCTCTGCAGCCCTCCCATACTTGTACTCAAACTAGAAGTGGGCCCTGGGGGTGTCCCAAACCTGGCCCTTCCTAGGTGGACCAGCCACAAGCCAGGCCTGACTCAGCCTCGGGGAGGGTTCACTTAAAATATGCATAGAAAATATTTCCTGCTTCTTCCCCCTGCCTCCACGTCCTCCAACAAAGTGGAGACAATTAGGACTAAGGCCCACACCAGCTATTATTCTGCAATTCTTCCTGAATACTCCACAAATAGGTGGAACAAACCTGCCTTTGTAGGTGACTAGTGGCTTTGACATGTCTGTGATTAAGAAGAGTTGCATGCGTGAAATTCTCCTGGGTAATTCATAGTTTAAAGTGATCTGGGCCCATATGGTCATCGTGAAAGGAAGTCCTACAGCCTTCCAACACGCTCTACTTAAGGAAGATGGGAAGACACAGATCCAGCTCCTGAGGTCATAGAACCAGACACAGTTCACCCAAAAAACAAGCCAATTTGAGAGGGGTTTTGATTTTTTTAAAAATGGAAACCACCAAGATCTTCAGACTCCATTAGGACCACCAGAGTGATACCCCTTCATTCTCTTGGGATTCCACAACCCGTCTCCCGAACCAGTGCAGCAAGGGTGGGGATTCAGCCCTTGGACCATGAGGCTTTTCCCTGTCTGGAAACAAGAGGACTGATTCCTCACATCACATGGGACTGGGTGCATTACTTTGCTAAATCATGGGTTCTCCCCCATCAAAATGAATCCAAGCTAGCATAGACAAGCAGGACTGCCAAAAATAAAAAGTCAGCCAGGAAATAACTATGGTGCAGACTTGGGTATTCAATTCCAATTCAATAACTTTATTGGTGAGAAAAAAAAAAAAAAAAGACTTGTAGAAAGACTGCCAAAGTCAATACATTAGATCCATGTGTGTGTAGCAGCGAGTTCCCAGGGTGGGAAGCTGGACTAATGCTTTGATATTCCATGTCCCTCCTAGGCTCATCAGCTGCCTGATTTTAGGAGAACAGTTTTTTCCTTTTCTCTAAAGAGAGGGAGACTTCCACCATCACACTGTTTATGCCTAATGGAGAAGTCTCTTGCATCTAGGATATACCGTCATCTACGGTCTCTTTGTTTTGTATGAAAATTCTTCACCGCCTTCTGCTGTCTCTCCAGATCGCTGGAGGCAAGACCACACCAAGACCTCAGAGTCTATTTACAACCTGTGATGGCCGAGCCTGTGCTGGGTGGATTCTTCACTGATACCACAGTATCACAAACTACTAGGGTTTGTTTTAAAGTCAGCTTTCTGGAGGTACAATTTACACACAGAAAAAAAAAAAAAGGCCCTGTGAACCACACAGTTCTGAGTTTCCCAAACACCTAAAGCTCTGTAAGCACTACCACCATAAAGATGTGAAAAATAAAGATTTCTATCATTCCAGAAATTTCCCTCATACCCCTTTGTGGTCAAGCCCTTCCCTCAGCCCCGGCAACTACTGACTTGTTTTCTTCCCCCAGTTTCGCCTTTTCCTGAAAGTCACATAAATGGAATCGTACACTGTGTAGGCTTTTGAGTCTGGCTTCTTTCACTTAACCTACTGGTGCGTATCACTGGGAGTTAGTTATGAACTGTTAGTTTTTAAGTCTGGGACTTTTGCCTTCTTGTCAAAGAGACAAAATGATTGGCTCTAGTTCATCTGCCCGGGACGTGGGACTTTCGGTGGTAAAATCAGGAAAGTCCCAGGCAAACCAGGATGGTTTGTCACCTTCCTTGGGAAAGCTACCTCTAAGGGCAGGCATACACACTCGCCTGCTCAGATGCCTTCTGGGGCACAGGAGGTCGCTCTCTCTGAGCTACCAGCTGACACTCCTTTCTCCGTTTCATCACAAGCAGAAGGCCAGTTTGCAATCTGCTGGGGCTGAGCCCCCGTACAGAGCTCACCACACTCCACCAGGCCTGCAGCTGCCTGTGAAGTCCCTAGGAGGGGCTCAAGGGAGTGAGAAGAGAACTCAGAGGTCTGTTTAGAAAACAGCAGAGCAAGGCTTCTGTTGGCGTCGGCGCCCCTCCCCACTCCTCCGTAATATTTAATGCCCACAGAGTGTTGTGACATGAATGTGCCCTGGGCTCATTCTGTTTTTGTGCCAGTCCAATGCAACATTTCCAGGGCATTGCCAGCTCCTACTGTTTTTCTATACATTCTCCCTACTCCTTCCTCTCAATGGGGTTGTTGGTGAGTTTGTTTTGAGACTAACAGGAAGAAGGTGAGAGCCACGTGATAGAAAATTAATAAAGAGCTCAAAGTCCCTGTTAGATTTTAAGGGTCTCTCCTAGATAAACATGCTGAGACAACAGAGAAAAGTCAGGCAGGGCCAGGATGTGGCTCCACACATCAGGCTTAAGAATGAGCAGTTTCTTGCCTAGCTCCTTTCCAGCTGACCTTGAGCCAGGCTGCCTGGGAACAGGCTGAGCATCCTCAACTCAGAACTCCCAATAGCTTCAAAGAGCATGTGATGGCCATAGCTGGTGTCCAAATTAACTTTGATGACCCAACCCAGGAAGGCAAGAACTGGTGGGTTCAGAGCCATGTCAGAGGTTTCAGGGTATCTGCTCCCCTGAATTAATTTCACATTGCCCCTTCTCAAAGTATTCACCAGTAGCTCTCAGAAGTTATTCCACCAAGCAGCCTGTGAGGTGGGTTAGTAATCATTATCTTCACTTGTACAGATGAGGAAACAAGGCCCAGAGAGATTAATTGACTTGCCCAAGGTCGCAGAGCGAGTTAGTGGCAAAGGCCAGATTAGAACCCCAAGCCCCGGAGTGCCCAGGCCGGCGCCCAGCTCCATGAGATCCCCCAGCCTTCGGTCCAGAGCATGGGCAGAGCCAGGTCTGCGCCCCCGGGAGCCCTGGAGGCCAGATGAGCTGCTGCAGAGGGCACAGGCAGGCTCATACTCACAAGCAGAAACCTGCAGGATCCTTCTCTGTACCACCAGACAGCAACACCCCTGTGCTGGAACAGACAGAAATAAGGCTCAAGTCGGGAAAGCCAAGGGCAGCCACTGTACACTTGCATCTCCACTCTGGAATTTGGCTTTGAGATTCTGCTTCATTTCCCCTTGTGACCGAGGTCTGTTCTTGAGGGCCAGAGCATAGGAAAATAGGTGCTCTCATTGCCTGGCATTCATTCACTCACTCATTCCCCAATCATGGCCCAGGCATCTTCTACAGGCACGTGCTGCATAACGACGTTTCAGTCAACGACAGCCCACATATACAACGGTGGTCCCATAAAACTAGTACCAAATAGCCTAGGAGTGTAGTAGGCTGTACCATCTAGGTTGATGTAAGCACACTCTGTGATGTCCACACAACGATGAAATCGCCTAATGACACATTTCTCAGAACGTATCCCCATCAAGTGACACACGATGGTAAGTGCCTGGCAGTGCATCAGGGGCTGGGAGAGGGACCCTAGGAGGAGAAAGACAAGATCCCTGTGTTGGAGGAGTTCAGTCTAACAGGGGCAACAGACATATATACATGTAATTCTAAGACAATGTGACATTAATTCAACAAATATTTGCTGAGTCCCTACGATGTGCCAGGCATTGATGAGGCTATACGTAAAGTAGTAAGGGAACACAGAGGGCATCAGGGGAGGCTTCACGGAAGAGGAGGCACGTGGGCTAGGTCCTGAAGACTGAGGAGTGTTTCACTGAGCAGCTAGTCCTTCCCTGGCTAAAGGAACTCGGATAAGGAATGAGCCCAAAATTGTCTTGTGTACTTTTTTCTAAATAAACCCTTGCTGTTTTTAGAACAGGAATTCGACCCTTTAGAAACTCAGTTCTCAAGGATACTGTATCCTGTTTCTGACTCTCTGAGTTGTTGCTTAATCTCTTCAGGCCTCAGTTGACCTGTCTCTCAAATGGGAGTGATTCAGAGGGTGGCTCGGGGCTTCACTACAATCTTTGGAGACACGTTCACACAAAAGTCCTTGAGAAACAAATTCCTCACATGGCCCATGGCATTCCCTTTCCCACTCAGTCTGCTGCTCTCCACTCTCAACGGAAATTGGTTGTATTTATAAGAATCACGATCGTAAACTGACCCTTGTTGGGCTACCCGCACTCCCTCCCTCATTTCCCTCTCCTCCTCAAGACACATCCTCCTTCCAAAGATTCCTCACGGACCACAGGGCAACCAGCACTGAAGCGTGCTCGGGAAGTCAGAGGGACAAATCCTGGAGGTTGTCTTCTAGATGTAGAAACTGAGGCCAGGAGAGCTCAATGACCTGTCCCGGGAAACAGAACACGTGGGTCTCCCGGTTCCCAAGCCACTGCTTTCTCCATTGCACCGTGACCGTCTCCCTCATGTCTCAGCCTGGGCCCTGGGCAGACGCGCCATCCTTCCTGGCTTAGGGAAAATCTCCGTTCTGTGAATGACAGAAGTGTTTAGAGCAACATTTCCCATCATTAAAGGGATTTAGAAGAAAACTGGCACAGCCTCCCAAGCTTTGAAGCTCATTGGCCCCTCCTGGCCCTTTAATTGTGTTTGGAACCGGCCCAGTTCCCAGAGCTCCCCCCTTTAAGAAGAGGGGACAGGCCCAAAGCAGAATTCCCCCACCCCTCTGGCCTTTCAGCACCAATGGTGACCTCTCAGTATTTCTGCTTCAGACCACTTCATTGCCAAAGCATCAAGGGCTCCCACACAAAGAGCTTCAAAGTCAGGAGGGCTCAGGGTCAAGTACAACCATGAGCAAACCCTGAGCTTAGGATTCTGAAGCATCATATTTGAGATGGTTTTTCAGCAGTGTTCCCACACCCTTTTAAAGCCTATAATCACTTAAGGTGAATTACCTTCGACTTCTGCAGGTATCATAAGATTTGGGTAAAGCATATCAGGTGAGTATGGAGGGGGAATCTTTCACTCGACATTTGCTTTTAATTTTCCAGGCGAGGAAGGTATACATATAATTACTTATCTTCTGTCAATTGTTCTCAACATTGGCTGCACATTAGAATCACCTAGAGACCTTTAAAAAATGTATAATGCCTAAGCTGGACCCCTAGACCAATTAAATCAGACTGTCTTGGGTGGGGTCTACATAACCCTATTTTTTAAAGCTCTCCAATGGTTCCCATGTGTGGCTAAGGGTTAGAACCACTGCCTTAGGTAGAACTTCAACAAGGAAAAACCTGAGCTCCAAGGCATGGAAAAATAACAAATACAGATGATTCCTATGAAGGTGAAATGAACATTATTAATCTGCCCAGCTCTTTTAATTAGCTTTTCTTTTTCAGACCTTTCCTGACCACAGATCCAATGATTCCCATATAAGCTTTCAAGTATTTTACTGGCTTGACTCTTCACAGCTCATCTCTACTTTCCGGTACCCTAGAACTAAGAGCCATCTCCTGAGAATCAGGTGATTCGACTCAGAAACAAAAGAACACAGGAAAAGAATGATTACACTTTCAGTCAATTACTGTGATCCAAATTAAAGTCACTATCTCAGCCATGTCTGTTTGGATCCAAGTATGACACAATTTCAGGAAGCTTCAGCCTGGACGTTCCAAGTGCGATCCACAGATAGTAGGTCAGTCACATTTGGCCCTGGATGCACTCACCAGCTGGAAGAACAGTAGGAACCAGAATCCTTGACCACGTGGTATGAGTTCGGCCATGGGCTAACGCACAGTGATACAAGGATGCGCTTACGAGAGTCATAAATATGTAAACACCCAAGGATGGGAACCTTTTCAAAGTACCCTATAGAACTTAGCACTGCTTATACAAAACCAAAGAGATTCACATACAAGATATAGCAACTCTACCAACATTTTTTATGACAACTCTCATAAAAGCTCCATCTCTCTGGGAAGACACTCCCACATACTCTCCCCACTCCCCTTGTTTTTGCTTGCAAGAGCCATGGCTGTCTAGCAGAACGGCTTAGAAGGAATGGGGAGCAATCCTGGAAATGTTTCTGCATTAGACATAAGGTAATATTCCAACCACTCTTCAGCTCCAGACCTTTCTTTACATCCTACCAAACAATGGAAAATGAGCCCAGAGCCTAAAAATCATAGGCTAGTTTTGGAGGATGTATAACATGTTAACAGGCAGGCTGGGGAACACGGAAAACAATTTCTCCATCAACTGCTTTGTAAGATTTACAAATTAGACAAAACATTTTGAGAATGTGGAGACAGTGATGAGGCATTCTACCTATGAGATGGAGGGAGAGCTCAAAATTGGGAGTATAGAAACATAGAATGAGGCATTTAAATAAGTTTTTAAAGCGTCACAAGTAATTCTTCTTTACAATTTTTACATATGTTTTGAGAGCCCAAGAAATCTTGCTTTTGCATTTAACTTTGTTGTTTAAACCACTATACCTAGTTATTCCATTATTCAGTCTTACCTTAGAAAAAAAGAAAACGCCCTCCAACTCTAACAAGCACATTATGCATTCTACTTAGAGTTGCACTGGTTAATCGGAGATTGGGCCCAACATGCTTCATTTTGCAGAGACCAACTTTTCAATTCTGTGAGTGATCAAAGCACAACTCAGCTTCTTCTCAAGTGAACAGGAAATTCTACATGGGGGGGGGTCCCCCAAATTCCTCAGCTGAAAGGAGTAGTAAACAGAAGCATTCACCAGTGACACCTGAAGAGATTTCTCTCCAGAGTCAAACACTAAAAAAACAGTAGGATTAGCCTCTGCAATCCAGATAATTCTGTGTCCACTTATCACTGTCTGTGTCTCACTGACTGCAGAATAATGAGGCAGACACATGTGTCACCAAAAACACAAACACTCTGAGCTGGAAACTGTTTCCTTCAGTTGGCAAAAACCCCTAACTGATCTTCCAGGGTGGGAGGATTCAAACTCCCAAGAGACAAACATAACTAAGGAGACTTTCTCAGGTCAAGGGCCAAGTCAAAAGCTATGAATACAAAAACCTTCCCATAGTAACTGGGCATTTGGAAAGAAGATCCAAAACGTTATCATTTGCCCTAACTTTGAAAGATTAATATGCTTGCAATCTGGACCTTCAACCAGGAGCTACCACAAGGCAGGAAAGGCAGACCCTGAGCTGGAAGGGCCCCTCCAGTGGACAATTCAAGTCCTAAATTCCCTGTGAGGGTCCCTCCCAAAGGGCGCTGAGCCAGCGTCGGGGAGGGAGCAGCAAACTGCCCTTTTAGAAGGAGAGGGGCTGCGGCGGCCTCAAGTGTTCTGAGGCTCCACAAGGGCGCTTTCAGTCATTCAGGCGCAAAACTGACGCGATCTCAGCAGAATTTGAGACGAAAAAAAACACCCGGTTAGAAATGTGAGAGAGGCTCCGGCGAGGCTTCGCAGAAAGAAACCGGAGGTTGCCAACAAATTTAACCCTGTCCCCCCAGCCGGCTTCCTGTGCTCCTGGCAAAGACCCTTCCTTTACCTGTGAAGCGCTAAGATTTAGGTCTTTCTCCCTCACCTGTAACCAGGTGACCCAGACGAGGAAAAGCAATAGGAAAATCAAAAGACACGACTACTTTAGGGAACTAAAGCCGGTCCCCAAAGGTTCCTTTACGTCAGTTTCAGAAATGAGAAACCACTGGGAGCGAGATTCCTTGGGAATCTCAGCATTCTCCTTTATTGCTCTCTCCCAGGGGAAAATAAATATAGAAACAGTATTTCCTCTTCAGGTTTGGCAGAGACGAGTCCAGGACAAGAAAGTAAGTGCAAGAGGCTTTCCCAAAGGAAAGCGGGTAAGGGAGCCCGCAGCGTCCCGCTTAAGGGACACTTCTTTCAGCTCCTTTGCCCAAAGATCTGCAATTCGAGGCTTCTAGACTCCAGCCCAGGGGCTCCAAGCAAGGGTGCGAGCTGGGCACAGGACACAACCCCGGCCTCAGCCAAACCCAAAACTTGCCCAGCTGCGCACTGCGCTAAGCCCTCGGGCCGAGACGCTTCCACGCACTCCACCTGCAGGACACCGTGTTCGGCCCCCAATCCCTGCCCGCCTCCCCTGCCTGGGGGTAGGGGACCGGAGAAGGGCTCAGAGAGAGACGGTGACCGAAGCTGCCGGACGACTGGGGTAGCCCGACCAAGCCGGGAGCGGAGCCAAGCGCCCGCCCCACAGCCCAAGCGCATCGCGTCGCAGGTTCTTTCCCGGGGTCCGCAGAAGACCTTCACTCCGTCTGGCGCCCGGGCGAGAGGACCCAACAACTTGCCCCTTTGCTCCCAAGCAGCCCCGCACTGTTCCGACCTCACTCGGGGACTCCTCGGCCCCGGGCATCTTTCCGGGGCGTCTGGGGCCTGGCGGGTCGGGGGGCACGAGGGGGTCGCAAACCGCATGCTCTGTCCTCCAACAGGTGAGAAGCCTCCCCACGCCGACCCCCGCCCTCCGCGCCCGGGAGGATCAGAGGGCCCGGGCCGCGGCCGCCACCTAGGAGTCCACTCGCCCGGCCCGCGGCGCGGCTGTGGCCCCAGTCTTCGGGCCAGGTCTGGGCGGGGGCAGCCGGCTCTGCTCACCTGAGTCCAGGCGGGACGGGAGGCGCAGGCGGTGACGCCCCCCTCCATCCCTAGCCCTCCTTTCCGGCGCCGTGCGGGGCAGGAAGGGAGTGGGTGCGCGCCGCGCCGGGACCCGCGCGCTCACCTTTGTACCGCTCCATCGGGGCCACGGCGTGAGCTCCTCGCTGCTCGGCTCGGGCGCTGAGCTCTCGGCGCTCGGCTCCGCGCCCAGGGCCGCCGCGCTGGCCCCTCCCCGTGAGGTCACGCTCGCGGCCGGACCTCCTGGCGCGGCTGCCGCGCCCGGGGCGCTCGGACCCGGTCCCCGCCCGCGCGCCGCCCCCGCCGGGGAACTCCGCAGCCGACCCGCTGCGCTCCTGTCCCTGCGCACTCCGGGCCGCGCTCCCCGCCGGCAGTTCCCTCAAGTCTGGGCCCCGGGGGCGGCGGGACGGAGCGAGACCGGGACGTGCCCAAACCCTGGGGGAGGCTCCGGGGAGGGGCGGGCTCGGGCGGGCCTACACGAGCCGTTCTTCCAACCGCGGGGCTGCAAACCCACTGCCCGGAGGAGGAGACTGAGGCCTGAGCCAGGAGCCAGAGACGCGCCTAGAGCGCCTCCCTGTTGGCCCCGGGGCCAGCGCGCTTATGCCCTTGGCCTTCCTCGAGGGGCGGCATGGGGATAGGGATGGGCGCAACCGAGCCCTGCCCCCGCGCCTGCGCCCAGCTCTTTAAGAATCGCTCCCACCCTCTTGCAACCTCTCTAGGCAGCAGCCGCCGATCGCACACATGAGGGCACGTGAAAACGTCTACCCGCTGCCCTGTACCGGAGCCCAAGTTCCCCGGGCGCCATTGTTCCAGGCCCTCCTGAGAAGGACTGAAATTCCAGAGCCGCCTGGACAGATCCCGGAGCGCCGGTTCCTCGCTCAGCGCAGCGCGCGACCAACCCCGGAGGGTGGCATCTATTCCATAAGGAGTTCAGTCGTGGCTGTCACTCCACCCCGCCGCCACCAAGCGCCACACTTCCACCCTTTACCTCTTGTCATCTGTCCCTCTGTTCTCTTAACACGCCCAAGTCCTCCCCATCCGCCCCCTAAGGGATCCATGGCTTCCTTTAAACTTTTCTATTTTCACTTTAAAATCTCAGTCATGGTTTGTGCAGGATGCCTGGTTTTTCAACAAGTCTCCCCCAACTTCCTTGAAGGAACACTTAAGGAAGATTTGTTGTTGCTACTGCTGCTGTTTTCTGAAAGACTTCTTAATTGTTCTTGGAACGGCAGATTTAGCTCTGACGTTTGGAGACCTTGTGCCCTAGCCGTCTGAGAAATATTTTCCTCAGTTCTGTTAGCAGCTCACACTCACATCGATGGAGCCCTCCTCACAAAGCCGGGTGCCAAGGGCTGTACCTGCGCTGCCTTTAGTTTTCCCAATAACCCTGTGATGTGGGTATTATTATTACTTCTATCATGTAGTTGAAGAAACTGAGGCTTAGAGAAGTTAAACCACTTGCCCAAAGTTACACAGCTAAAAAGGAACAGAGCAGGCATTAAACCCAGGTCCGTCTGCTTCCAGATGTTTATTCACTAAACTTTCCTGGGGCTCATAGGAAATGCCAGTCTGTCTGTTACCATCTCTTGGAAAACAATGGCAACAGCCATGTAGGTGCTCTGATAAAACTGGAATGCAAGGGATTCTGGGAACCCAGTGGAGGGCCCTGAACCAGCCTGGAGAAGCCTCCTGAGTCTTGTAGAAGAGGTGATGGCTGAGCTGAGTCTTAAAAGATGACTTAGAGGTAGTGAGGTGCCAGCAGAGGCGGAGTGAGTGCAGCCTTTCAGGCAGACAGGACAGAAGGGACAAAGGCAGGGAGGTGAACCATTTCAGGGTCAAACAGTTCTGTGTTGCTGAAGCCAAAAGGGAGAAGCCAGGAGAGAAGGAGGTGAGGCCGGGGAGGTGGGTACAGGCATGCTCGAGGGCCCACAAGGCCAAGTGATCCAGAAGCCAAGGGGATTGGGCAGCTTTGAAAAGTGGGGGTGCCTTGGGGCTCCCTCGGAAGCTGAGTGGAGGGTGGAGTGCAGGAGGCAGTTGCGCCAGCCAGGTGAGAAGTGGCTGGGTGGTGGAAACCAGATGGGGAAGAGAGGACCGAGGGCAGAAATATGCAGGAAGTTTGATGCCAAGGCTCCGTGTCTGAGCACAGAGCGTGAGGAAGAAGGAAGACCCGAGGTTGACCTTCTGGTTTCCAGCAACTTAGGTGACCAGGTGGACAGTATCACCACTCATGCATTCGGTCATCCCTTACATATTTATTACCTGAGGCTCTGTTAGGTGCCAGGTGCTACCAGGCACTGCAGAGAGCATGAGCAAGGGAGACAAGGGGTTGCTGTTGGGACTGTGGGTAGGGGTCGGAACAACAAGCAAGAAAAGAGATGAGCATCACTGAGTCAGACACAGAGAGGTGGCAGCAGGTTGGGTGTTGAGGGAGAAAGTGAAGGGCCCACAGCACCTCCAGGGAGCTTAGAGCCCTGGATCTGAGCCCTCAGACTCAGCCACCTACATTATCTCCTTTAATTCTCTCCGCCACTCTTCCAGGTGGGCCAGGCTCATGCGGGTTCAAGAAATGGAAATAGTGGAGGCTGCAGCAAGAATGCTGATGTCTCAAGGAATCAAAGGACAGGAAATAGGGTTCAGCAGGCCTTGTGCAAGGTGGAGCTGGGATCCTGGTCTGCACGGAGGGTGCTCTTGCATTTTGTGTTCTCTTTTTCTCTCTCTTCCCTCCTCCCTCCCTTTCCTCATCTTGCAAGTGGCCGGGCATGGCACCCACCCTCCAGTCTACAGTGTGCCAAGACTACCATCGATGGCTCCCAGGTTTCCTTTCAAATTCTCAGGGAGAATCTGATTGTGTAGCTTGTCATTTTGAAACCAGCCTCAAGTGTGGTGGCTGGTCACTCTTGGTCAGATTCCAGCTCCGGCAGTCAGCTGGGGCCAGTGGGGGGAGGTTTCACCATCCAGCCCCACTCCCCAGGGTGCTGTTCGAGCTGACCCTCCCAGAGCAGGTGAGGGCAGAGCTGGCTCTGACTGAGGTTGCCAAGAGCAAAAGATGGAGATTAACCTGTCTCCATCCTACAAGTGAGGACACAAAGAAGTTAGGGACCTCGCGAAAGTCACCAAGTCTTTCAGAACTAGGACTCAAGAATCTGGTTTCCTGATTCCAAACCCTGTGCTTTGTCACCCGCCTCAGTTCCGGCTTTCCCAGCGTTGTAACTGGGCAAGGCTTTACCCCAGCAAGTCCTCTGGTGGCTGTCTCTGGAGGCACTTCCCGTAACCGCACCCCCTCTCTGCAGGCCAAGGGGTGGCTCGATATCTCTATCATGCCTGCTCCCTCTCCCCTTTCCCTCATTGGCTCCAGCCCGTTAATTACCTCTTCCTAAATCCTCTCTAGTTTATTGACGGAGACTTGGCAAGTCCCAGAGCCTCTAGACAAACAGAAATCAATCAGAAATGTATGCAGTGTGAATTTAAAATGGGAATTCGCCGCCCTTTCCAAGAATGAAACTGAAACACTACTTAAAACCATCAGTAGGAATCTGAGGCCTCTGGAAAGCTCAGCACAGCTTCCCCATCTCTCCAAAACCTGGGGGAGGTTAACCCCAGGTTCTTAGTCACTTGGCAACTTCCACAAAAGGGCCACTCACATTCAAATTCTAGTTCATTGGGTATCTGGCCTCCTGGATCAGATGATTGGGTTTCCAGATCATTCTCAACCTTCTGACCCACCCAGACCAACAGGATCCAAAATGGGCTGTCCTGCTACACATACAGTCCTGAAACCAAACTGAGTACCCTGCCCCGGAGTCTAGGCGGTGGGCATTCCCACCAAGCTCCACTGGGGTTGGGGCGCATCGGGACCTCAGTGTGTGGGGTGAAGGCATCCAGGACACAGATAACTGACTGCCCAACGGGCTTGTTCTCTGGTGATTTCTACACCTATTCTCAGCATCAGAGAGATTTCTCCAATCACAAGGGGGCTTCTCCAGCTGAGGCAATGAGGAGGGGGCCCACTGGCAGGCAGTTGCTTTGCAAACTTTACCCTGTTTGATTCTCACAGTGATCCAGGCAGCAGATACTATTTCCCCTCATTTCACACTCGGAGACCTTACGTAACTTGCCCAAGGTCACCGCTGGGTAGGACCCAAGCTAATCCCATTTGAGCAGCATCTCTGACCCAACTTCCCACCCAGGCTCTCTTTTGCAATCCTATTTTGTCAAAAGTCACCCATCAAACTGTTCTTTACTTCATTCCTACTCATTCTTCAATAGCCAGCTCAAAAGCTGTCAGCTCTGAGGGCAGTCCCCTCCCCCGCCACCCTCCATGCCCTCCTCAGCATAGTTCCGCTCCGGCTCTCCCAGGCTGTCTGCCCCTACTCATTCCACACCCCTCTATGTTGTATCACATTAGTTCTCTGTCCCCGTGTTTAATATAGCACCTGGCAGGGAGCAGGTGCTCCATCATGCCTGTGGAAGGAACAATGGATGACTTTTCCGTTTCTTCCCTCTTGGGGTTTCTGTGAAAACACACACACATACACACACAATGTCTTTGCTAGTTCAGATAGATGAAACAAATGATTACCAGAGGACATATCAGGTCTGGTTGGATGGGCATGGGGTGGGTTGATGCAGGAGGAAGATGGCTTTTGAACCAGGTCTTGAAAGAAAGAATTAACACTTGTTTTTTTTATTGTAATAAAATATACATAAAATGTACCATTTTACCATTTTTAAGTGTACAGTTGAGTGGCGTGAAGTACATTCACACTGTTGTACAACCATCACCACCATCCATCTCCAGACCTTTCTTTCTCATCATCCCAGTCTGAAACTGTATCCATTAGATAGTACTCCCCATGCTCCCTCCCCTAACCCCATGTAAACACTATTCTACTTCCTGTCGCTAGGAATTTGACTATTCTAGGTATCTCATAGAAATGGAATTATACAATATTTGTCCTTCTGCGTCTGGTTTATTTCACTTAGCATGCTGTCCAAGGTTCATCCATGTCCCAGGATGTATCAGAATTCTACTCCCTTTTAAGGCCGAATAATATTTCGTTGTATGTATAGACCATGTGTTGTTTATCCATTCCTCTGTCAATGGACATTTGGGTTGTTTCCATCTTTTCGTTATGGTGAATAATGCTGTTATGAGCATTGAGTTACAAACATCTATTGAGGTCCCTGCTTTCAATTCTTTTGGATATAAACCTAACAGTATAATTGCTGAGTCATGTGGTAATTCTAAGTGTAA